CTTGTTAAAACGTTGATCCCCCATTGTGGCCCCACCCTAACCCTGGGGGTCATGATTCGAACAAAGTTAAATCTACACTATCTGAGAATGCTTCCATATCAATATGACTTAACAAGGCTTTGCTGTTCTTGAGAAGAAGATTTTTCAAGATTTTTTTCTATATATTCCTATGTAAAACATTGACCCCCCATTGTGGCCCCACCCTAACCCTGGGGGTCATGATTCAAACAAAGTTAAATCTACACTATCTGAGAATGCGTCCATATCAATATGACTTAACAAAGCTTTGCTGTTCTTGAGAAGAAGATTTTTCAAGTTTTTTTTTCTATATATTCCTATGTAAAACTTTGATCGCCCATTGTGGCCCCACCCTATTCCCAGGGATCATGATTTGATACAAACTTGAATCTGCACTACCTGAGGATGAATCCACATCAATATGACTAATTGTGGCTTTGTTGTTCTTGAGAAGAAGATTTTTAAAGATTTTTTTCCTATATATTCCCTTGTTAAAACGTTGATTCCCCATTATGGCCCCACCCTAACCCTGGGGGTCATGATTCAAACAAAGTTAAATCTACACTATCTGAGAATGCTTCCATATCAATATGACTTAACAAGGCTTTGCTGTTCTTGAGAAGGAGATTTTTCTGTTGTTGGAAAGATTTTTTCCTATATATTCCTATGTAAAACGTTGACCCCCCATTGTAGCCCCACTCTAACCCTGGGGGTCATGATTCGAACAAAGTTAAATCTACACTATCTGAGAATGCTTCCATATCAATATGACTTAACAAGGCTTTGTTGTTCTTGAGAAGAAGATTTTTCAAGATTTTTTTCTATATATTCCTACATGTATGTAAAACTTTGATCCCCCATTGTGGCCCCACCCTAACCCTGGGGGTCACGATTCAAACAAAGTTAAATCTACACTATCTGGGAATGCTTCCATATCAATATGACTTAACAAAGCTTTGCTGTTCTTGAGAAGAAGATTTTTCAAGTTTTTTTTCTGTATATTCCTATGTAAACTTTGATCGCCCACTGTGGCCCCACCCTATCCCCAGGGATCATGATTTGATACAAACTTGAATCTGCACTACCTGAGGATGAATCCACATCAATATGACTAATTGTGGCTTTGTTGTTCTTGAGAAGAAGATTTTTAAAGATTTATTCCTTTATATTCCTATGTAAAACTTTGACCCCCCATTGTGGCCCCACCCTACCCCAGGGGGTCATGATTTGAACAAATTTGAATCTACACTATGTAATGAAGGTCTCACATAAGTTTCAACTTTTACAGCCCATTGGTTCTTGAGAAGAAGATTTTTAAAAGATACCACCAAATTTTCACAAATTCTTAATTATCTCCCCTTGAAAGAGGGGGTGGCCCTTCATTTGAACAAACTTGAATCCCCTTTACCCAAGGATGCTTTGTGGCAAGTTTGGTTGAAATTGGCCCAGTGGTTCTGGAGAAGAAGTCGAAAATGTGAAAAGTTTACAGACGGACGGACAGATGGACAGACAGACAGACGGACAGATGGACAACGGACAAAATGTGATCAGAAGAGCTCACTTGAGCCTTCGGCTCAGGTGAGCTAAAAAGGGAGCCCTTGGGCCAAGAATACCCTGTGACAAATATGACAATGATTGGCCAAGGGGTTCTTGAGTTATGGCCCATACGCTTTTGGCTCAGAAAAGCTAAAAACAGACTGCAAATTAAGCAACGATTTTGACTGCAGCTATAATATTCAGATATATCGACATATGGAGGTAATTTGTTCTTTAGATTAAAATGTCTTTTTTGTGCAATATTTTCTTTGAAGTAACTATATAAACAGTACAACATAAAAATTTAAATATCTTTTATGAATAAATACATCGATACATAAAAGCTGCTCTTTCAATATAATTCTAAATTGACAGCAAAAATGACATCATAGTGCTCAAAGCGGTTAAATGCAAAACTACAGTGTTCCAAGGAACATGTGTCGCCTGCTTTTAGCTTCTTTAAAGATGTAACTAAATCTAAGAGTGGTCAGCTATTTATATGCTACTAGCATATACAGTATTTCATGCAAAAAAAAAAATCTAGCATGATAGTTCATAAATGCACAAAAAACATCCACACATAATATGACTGCAACAGAGTCTGTCAATAATAAAAAATATGATTCCTACCCTCAAATGAATAAATAAGTTGAAATCATTATAATTAATTATTTATCATTTTACATTTCATAATAGTACGTGTTTCAAAGTCTTTACACCAATTGTCACTCTACACGATCCGTTGTGGGATCCCGATCCCAATGTATTTTCATAATATTTAAATATCAGTTCGTGTGGTCACTGAATTTATATGGTTTCAAAGAACAGTATTATGAGCTCATAAACGTATAAATGTTAATAATTATCAACACCCGCCACTCAAAATTCAAAAGTCTTTAGTTAACTTAAATTGTCTGGGGTATTCTTTGTAAAGTAGGTCAAAGGTCAAGGTCAAGTGAGTTGTAACGCTGGTATTTTTCATGTTTTATGACAATCAGTGCACATACTAAATAGCATAAAATTACCCCTTAAATGTAAAAAACATGCTGTATATTGGCACTTCTAACTTTTTAGTAAAGTAAGTCAGAGGACAAGGTCAAGGGTCACAAGGTCGGTAACCATGGCAATTTACAAATGCCATAGTGCCAAGCAATAAATGTGCAAAATATCAAGTCCATATCTCTTACAGTTCTTGAGATACAAGGTGTGACAGATGGACAGACAGACAGACGTTGGGTTAAGTGATCGCTTAGTGCCGCTCTGCTCTGCAGGCGACACAAAAATACATCCCATCTTCAGAGGGTTATTGCAACTAAATTATAAAAGATAGATAAAAATTATTAATATATTTCTAAAGTGTACATTCTGAACTCATTCCAATATAATTATTTAAAAATTTTCAAAGAAGGGCTGATTTTCCCTACTAACGTACTTGGCTCTTTAAGGAAAATGTGCATTCTTTTATTCCCTTTATTTACTGGTACATAAAAACTAGCTGTAATAATAATTAGTGTTCACACATTCTAGTCAGTGAATTTTCATTCAAATAAATTTATACACACGTGATGAGATATCATGTATTACCATACAAGGCCTTTTGATATGAAGGATTTATTACTTGCCCTGAAATCTTTAACTTTTAATTACATAAGGAAAATGATGAAATCCTTCACCACGTTAAATATGAGGTCTATAATATCTGGAGACCAACTTCATTGACCTCATATTTCTTGCAGAAGCCATTTTGAAATTGTAAACAAGGAACCAAAAAGGACAACTTGGATAATTATAAGGGATGTGCGATTTTATCGGTATACCGGTATATAGAGATTTTTCGTTGCCTGATACAGAGACCTAAATACCGGTATTTGGGTATATACTATAAAGTCCAACAATTATTTATTTATTTGTTCAATCTTTCAAATTACAATCACAGAAAGTCTAAAAAATGTTGTAAAAGTTGAAAAGAACGGCATCTTACCTTCCAAAACATGATTAATTTTATGTACATAAAAATTTCAAAAAAGTGTAATTTTGTTTTTCTAGCATATCTTTAAGAAAAATAATGACTAGTCAATTGAAAATGATTGTAAAAATTGCTTGTAAAAATATCATGATATTATTGTGATATTTTGGGAAAAAATTGTGATATATCGCAATTTGAAATTTTTGGCAATATCCATCCCTAATAATTATGGACCGATTGAACCAAACTGTGATATCAATTTAACGTACCATGAATTGAACTGTTGAAAAATAAAGAGTGATATACCGTCAAACAGTTTATTGTTGCAGTCTTCCTCATCATAAATGTTTGATTAATACCAAGGAGCAGATTAGTGTTGTCAAATCGGACAATTTTTAGTAACGGGTTACTCGCTTAATCTTCCGACCGAGTACCCAATACTCAGATAATTTTTCGTAAAAGTTTCCTTATCTATTATTTATCCAATTCTTTACTCATCAGTAGTAGTAAAATACAAATATACTGTATTTGAACATTATTTACAATACACACAATATCTTCAAAGAATTTCGATTTTAGATTAAAGAAAATAAGTAAATAGACACTTGGAGAAGACAAATCAATACATGTATGTAATGGTCAATCACAATTTTACAACAGCTTTTGTTACGTTTTTTCTTTTCAGCCCTCGAAATATGTCGCAAACAAGGAGAATAATTATTTAATAATAATAATTAGGGAAATGTGTTAGTATACATTTATGAACAACATAACATTTAATTCGAGGTATTTACTATGTAAAATGTACTTTATTCGAGTAACCGAATTGCAGTTTTACTAAATGATACTCACATCATTCGACAGTTTACCAGTTAACCGGGTACTCGTTGACAACACTATTCTGTATCTATAATCATTACAGCCCCCTCCCCCTATACCGTACCCCTGGCCCTTGAAATTCAAAGAAGGACCCTTGCTCATCATAACACATATGTAGTTCATCTGCTTAATACCCAGGAGCAGAGGAGAAGATTAATGCACTTTCACAATATTATCAATAGAGCCCTGCCTAACACCAGAACCCCTGACCCTCGGGCAATGAAATTCAAAATTTTGAAAAAATGTGCCCTTTCTCATTATAGTTATGTATGTAGTTGGTTTGTTTAATACCCACGAACAGAGAAGATTTTCAAAGAATTAATACATTATCACTATATAATTTACATAGCCCTGCCTACATCATAACCCCTTAAATTCACAATTGTGATAGAGGGCTCAATGCTTTTTACAATCATGTTAACAGAAATGGGGGGGGGGGGGGTGACCATGAAATTCACAATTTTTGTTTCCCTACACCCATAGATGTTATTTGCCAAAATTGGCTGAAACTGGTTGAGTGGTTTCAGAGAAGAAGCTGACAAGTTGTTTACTCAGGGAACCTACAATTATGAAAAAAAATATATTTATATTCATAACTTACCTCAGTGACGATGAACACCTTTAAAAGCTTGTCTTGAAAAGTATTAAACCGAACACCTGGTATACCACGGACAACAAGATCCCTGATGACTATGCGCTCAATAAAAGCCTCCCCTGGCCTATAAAATAATTAGTCTATTGAGGTTTTAAGTTTTCTGATTTGAACAAAAGTTTAGAAGGTAAGGAATGTAGGAATATGACTCAAAGATTACAATGCTCACATTGAGAAATGTTATTAAGCAAATCAAATGCCAAAATAACAAGAGGAACATAGGCCACATCACTCACCTGAGCTCTGTGGCTAGGAAAAAAAGGAAAACAAGAGGCCCATGGGTCACATTGCTCACCTGAGCACATTATCTAGGCAAAGGCACAAATCAGTTCAGTATTGAAAAGATTACTGGGGGGGGGGGGGGGCTTGAATTTTAAACTTCCTGATGATGCTTCCATGTCAATGTAATAAATGGCTTTGTTGTTCTTGAGAAAATTTTTTAAAAAAAATTTCCCATATATTCCTTTGTAAAAAATTTTATCCCCCATTGTGGCTCCTCCCTATCCCACGGGTCATCATTTGAACAAACTTGAATCTACACTACATGAGGATGCTTTCATATCAATATGACTACACATAACTTTTCTGTTCATGAGAAGAAACATTTTTTCTATATGTTCTTATGTAAAACTTTCGATTCCCCATTGGGCCCCACTCTAGCCCCCCCCCCCCCCCTGGGTCATCATTTGTACATAATTGAATTTACACTACCTGAGGATGCTTCCATATCAAAATGACTAAACATGATTTTCAGTTCTTGAGAAGAAGATATTTTTCTATGTTTTCCTATGTAAAATTTTTGATCCCCCATTGTGGCCCGACCTTATCCCCAGGGTCATCATTTTAACAAAACCTGAGGATATCAAAATGACAAATCATGGCTTTGTAGTTCTTCAGAAGAAGAAATTTTCCTATATACAGTCCCTGAAACGTTCTACTTTCCCTCTTGAACGGTGAGCGAACGCTGAACGAACGGTGAACGAACGCAGAGCGAACGGTGAGTGAACGATGTGTGAACGCTGAACGCAACTTGGTGAACGATGTGTGAACGGTGAACGGTGAGCGAACGCAGAACGCGAACGGAGCGCAAACGCGAACGCAAAGTGAACGGTGAACGAATGGTGAACGCAAGATGAACGATATATTCGGAATGCCTCTTGATCTTTTCCTTGCATTGAAACTATTTTATTGTATTATAATGTCAGGTGCCAAAAAAAAAAACAAAAACAAAAACAAATAATAAATAAGTAAACAAATTAATGAATGAATAAATAAGTCAATAAAATAAATTCTCCAAAATTGTTCTAAGAAAGACGATGCATGCTCATTAAGTTTTTAATCACACGAATTTTATCGCATTAAAACATTGCAATTGTTGCCGAACGCTGAAGTATAAAAGATATTGTTTTTAGTTGGAAAATAAAAATGTTTATTCTTATTTGATAACAAATCAGAGAAAACTTATGATTTATAGAATTAATTAAAGTGGTTGTAACTTATATTCATATATATATCTCAGTGTCAAGGCGATTTCGTGTAAAGTAATGAAAAAAAATTGATTACATTCATACGCTCGTATTTTAGATTTTTAATAAAATAATATATTATGTGTCATTTCTATTTTTCATTATGATTTATTGAGCAGACGTCTACATGTATCTCTAGATGGCCGTGATTATACTCGGACAAGATGTTATAAATTCAATTTTCAGAACATGATATTTAAGTAATATGGTGTTATAATTTTTATTAAAAAGACAAATGAGAGAGAGAGAGAGTACTATTCAGTTTTAGCCCCCCCCCCCCTTTCAGGCTTCACCAAATGTTTGTACCTATATCAAACAAAAACTCTGAATTTTTTTTCTAAATATATTAGACAGTGAAAGTAACTTTTTTTTTTATCAACAAATCATATCTATTTGTTTGACAGTCATACTCTTTTTTATTTTCCTGCTTCAAGTTCACACGAAGTCCACGTGCTTGTCCTGTCAATCGAAATCATTCGACACTGTGCAGGTGTGAAAGTTTCGTCACATCGAAGACGAAGTGCGAGTATTTCCAACAAGTTATAACACTTATTTTTATCAGTTCTAGATTTGATTCCAACATTTGAATAATAAATTAGTAAAATACATTGGGCATTAACACTTGAATGTGAAACATACTCTCTGCAAATTTCAAATACCACCGCCGACACGTGTACATTTTGATCTACTATTGTTTTGTGACTTTTTTAGATGCATGTTTGCTTTGAGACTGAAATTTTTGTTCTAAAAAAGACCGTAGCTTTTTTTAAAATGTTAATTAAAATATTCTGGAAATACGGTACTGACTAAGTCACCAATTTAGGGGGAAAGGGGGGAGGTATTAATCATATCGAATGGCAAACATATAAAGTTACGGTGAAGAAGGATTTTTTTTCTCTATAACTATAGACTTTACATATTACAGTAGAGAAATTCTGTAGTGCATTACATTTTAAATAAATATTTCCTTTAACCACACTATCATTTTAATTCGTTCTAAAGATAATAAATTAACAGGATATCCGCAGTACTATGTATAACTCTCAGAACTAGTTCTATTATATTTTCTGTAGAAATTGAAAAAAAAAACGTAATAGAAATAAATATTTTCGTAATTTTGGTGCGTAATTATTTGACTTGAATAATTATATCTCCATTAACGATTTGTCGTCTTTAACAAAACAACAAAATGTTGCAGTGCTTGAAGTATTTGCACATTGCCCTTAGTTAAATTTAATATTTCAGCATCGTTCGACATAGGTACAGAATGTGCTTTTAACAACATTTATTTTCCAGAGTAATTTAATAAATAACCTAACAGCTAAGTTAGAATAATAAAAATACATATCGAAGATATTTTTCCTCATGAAATAATGATTCTTCAAACACGATATGTTAGTTAATAAATTAAAAAAAAACCTGTAACTCCTTAACTACAAAAAGATAAGTCCTTTCACTTCGGAGTTCCGAATGACAATGAAAACTGAACGATAGGTGAACGCTGAACGCAAGGTGAACGCAAAGTGAACGGAACGAAGAGTGAACGCTGAACGCTTTGTGAACGGTGAACGCGAGCGCACGGTGAACGGTGAACGCAAAACTGTGAACGGAGAGCGAACGGTGAACGCACGGTGAACGAACGGTGAGCGAACGGAAAAATGGGAAAGTAGAACGTTTCAGGGACTGTATTTCTATTTAAGACTTTGATCCTCCATTGTGGCCCACCCTACCCCGGGGGGTCATGATTTGAACAAAATAGAATCTACACTACCTGAGGATGCTTCCACATAAATATGATCAATCAGGGCTTTGCTGTTCTTGAGAAGAAGATTTTTAAAATTTTTTCTATATATTTCTATGTGAAACTTTGATCCTCCATTGTGGCCCCACCCTACCCCCTGGGGGTCATGATTTGAACAAACTTGAATCTACACTACCTGAGGATGCTTCCATATAAATATGACTCATCATGGCTTTGCTGTTCTTGAGAAGAAGATTTTTAAAGACTTTTCCTATATATTTCTAAGTAAAACTTTGATCCTCCATTGTGGCCCAATCCTACCCCCGGGGGGTCATGATTTGAACAAACTTGAATCTACACTACCTGAGGATGCTTCCACATAAATATGACTCATCAGGATTTTGCTGTTCTTGAGAAGAAGATTTTTAAAGATTTTTCCTATATATTTCTATGTAAAACTTTGATCCTCCATTGTGGCCCCGCCCTACCCCAGGGGGTCATGATTTGAACAAACTTGAATCTACACTACCTGAGGATGCTTCTATATAAATATGACTCATCAGGGCTTTGCTGTTCTTGAGAAGAAGATTTTTAAAGATTTTTCCTATATATTTCTAAGTAAAACTTTGATCCTCCATAGTGGCCCAATCCTACCCCCGGGGGTCATGATTTGAACAAACTTGAATCTACACTACCTTAGGATGCTTCTATATAAATATGACTCATCATGGCTTTGCTGTTCTTGAGAAGAAGATTTTTAAAGATTTTTCCTATATATTTCTATGTAAAATTTTGATCCTCCATTGTGGCCCCGCCCTACCCCCAGGGGTCATGATTTGAACAAACTTGAATCTACACTACCTGAGGATGCTTCCATATAAATATGACTCATCAAGGTTTTGCTGTTCTTGAGAAGAAGATTTTTAAAGATTTTTCCTATATATTCCTATGTAAAACTTTGACCCCCCATTGTGGCCCCACCCTACAAATTTGAATCTACACTACCTGAGGATGCTTCCACATGAGTTTCATCTTTCCTGGCCCAGTGGTTCTTGAGAAGAAGATTTTTAAAGATGCTATTATTTTTTCACTAATTCTTTATTATCTCCCCTTGAAAGAGGGTGTGGCCCTTCATTTGAACAAATTTGAATCCCCTTCACCCAAGGATACTTTGTGGCAAGTTTGGTTGAAATTGGCCAAGTGGTTCTTGAAAAGAAAATGAAAATGTGAAAAGTTTACAACAACAACAACGACAACGACAGACAACGGACAAATTTTGTTCAGAAAAGTTCACTTGAGCCTTTGGCTCAGGTGAGCTAACAAGAGGCACATGAGCCACATCGCTCACCTGAGTAACTTTGTTCTTTACCAGATCCCCCCCCCCCCCCTTTGTAATACCTATTGTGGCCCCGTCCTACCCTCTGGGGGTCATAATTTGAACTATTTAGCATCTACACTACCCAAGGATGCTCCTACAAAAGTTTCAGCTTTTCTGGCCAAGTGGCTCTTGAGAAGAAGATTTAAAAAGAATTTTCCTATATATATATATATATATATATATATAACAGGGTATTATTTTAACTCGGAATAATTATTTCATTCGGAATATAAAGAATTGAAAAAAATAAGCAACTAAGTCTCCTTATATGTACTTGTAGCTCTGAAGAAAAAAAATGTTGCCTTAATTCTCTGCATTTTGTGTCTAATACAGTATTGAGTAAAGATTTTGTTTATCTCTCTATAAATAATTTATTTCATTTCTTGTAATATTGTTTTTTTTCTTTTTAATTTATTTGTTTC